TGGTATCGCTCGTGAAACTTCAAGACAGCTTGGACTTGGCACTAACGTTTATAATGCTGAACGCCTTGGTCTTGGTGGTGGTGGAGACATGCCTGGCTCTGAGGTCTATGATTTCGTCGAAGCTGCTGATGGATTTGCGGAAGTTTTCCCTCAACATAAATACAATGTTGTGGAAATTCTTCAACAGCGTGGATATCTTGTGGCTATGACTGGAGACGGTGTCAACGATGCCCCATCACTAAAGAAAGCCGATACTGGTATCGCTGTAGAAGGTGCTTCAGATGCTGCTCGTTCAGCAGCTGATATTGTGTTTTTAGCTCCTGGACTGGGTGCTATCATTGACGCTCTCAAGACTTCTCGACAAATTTTCCATCGCATGTACGCCTACGTTGTCTATCGTATCGCTTTGTCAATACATCTTGAGATTTTCCTTGGTCTCTGGATCGCCATCTTGAATAGATCTCTCAACATTGAATTGGTCGTCTTCATCGCCATTTTTGCAGATGTTGCAACTCTTGCTATTGCTTATGACAATGCACCTTTCTCCAAAACTCCTGTTAAGTGGAACCTTCCAAAATTGTGGGGTATGTCCGTTCTCCTTGGATTTGTTCTCGCCGTCGGCACCTGGATTACTCTCACCACCATGATTGCTCGAGGTGAAGATGGTGGTATTGTTCAAAACTTTGGTGTTCTTGATGAAGTTGTCTTTCTTGAGATTTCTCTTACTGAGAATTGGTTGATTTTCATCACACGTGCCAATGGTCCTTTCTGGTCATCCCTCCCATCGTGGCAATTAACTGGAGCTATTCTCATTGTTGATATCATCGCAACATTTTTCACCTTGTTCGGTTGGTTCGTAGGAGGTCAAACTTCGATTGTTGCCGTCGTTCGTATTTGGATTTTCTCCTTTGGAGTTTTCTGTATCATGGGTGGAGTCTATTATCTACTTCAAGATAGTTCTGGCTTTGATAACCTCATGCATGGTAAATCACCAAAGAAGACTCAAAAACAAAGATCTCTGGAAGATTTTGGTAAGTGGATTACCCCGAGTCTTATGTCATTTTACGAACAAAGCGCTAACTTGTACTTCTTTAGTCGTCTCACTTCAGCGTGTCTCCACACAACACGAAAAGTCGGCTTAAAACTTAAACCTCATAATTTACAAGCACACATTAATTACAGAATGTGTAGCTTTTTACGAATATTCCCTTGTGTTATTAATTAGGTAGTTCGTGTGTATAAACTTCAGACGGGCTCATGGGTATCAAAACTGCTTGCTACTTTCGCGCTGAAAAGTTCAAATTGCTTAATTGCTGGGAAATAGAATTCGTACATTGTTTCTTAAATGAAAGATCAATTGCGATTAACTTTTGGCACAAGAAAATTGAAGCAGATTTGAGCGTTTTTAGTCATTTTTTATTTAGATGATGATAGCGTCATCCTAGGGTCTTAAAAGTCTTTAATAATTACAAATAAGTTTTCTTGTGTATGATTTTGGAGCAGAGCATCAGCTTCTTCTTTTCATCTGCTATTCACATTGACATTTGTATTTGTATTCGTATTTTTATTTTCAAAATCTCACCATCTCACCATCTCACAATCCAACAAAAAAAAGGTTCAACTATTAATACTTCATTCCATTCCATATATATATGTACGTACGTAAATAAAAGATAAATTTCTAGGGAATCTCGCGCTCGTACTTTCTTCGTGTACTTCCATTCCCATTTCCCACTCCCATTTCTTACTTCTTCTCCCATTTCCCACATCCTTTTCGAAAAAGCCAATTAAATCCAACCCAAATCCAAACCAAATCTACAACTTCGCCAATGGTTTCTCATCCGCCAATGCTTCGGCATACATTTGATCAATGTGTTCTCTGAATTTCTTTGCCGTTTGGGGACGCTTGAGTTTGAGACTATTTTTTGAAAAGGGAGGTGGGTTGTTAGTGGGTGTTCGTTTTGTGGTTTGGTTTTTGGGGATGGATGGGGTTTGTGTGGGGGGATGGGGATGGAGATGGGGATTTTATGTCTCATCCTCGAGGGGGGAGATAGATAGAGAGAAAAAAAAACTTACGTCGGAGTCAAAAGTTCATTATCAATGGTAAACGGTTCGATATCCAAGTACACATTCTTAACCTTCTCATAGCTATTAAACTTTGATTTCTTGCCCACGCCCTCCAACACCTTGACGAGTTGCATGCGCACCCTCTTATCATTACCCGCTTCTTTGAGGCCCGCAATATCCTCACTCTTGATTTCTCTGCCGAGGATCTTGCTTGCCCACGGCGCGAACGTCACGGGATCGACGCCGAAGATGGCGACGAGGAAAGCTTGGGTGGAGTCTCCGTGCACGTATGCTTGGGCGAGGAGATTGCAGTTTGCCAGGTAGACGTTTTCGATGCGTTCGGGGGAGATGTACTCGCCCTGAGCGAGTTTGAGGACGTTCTTTCGACGATCGATGATTTTGAAGCGGCCCATGCTGTCGACTTCTCCGATGTCGCCGGTGTGGAACCAACCGTCTGCGTCGATTGCTTTGGAGGTTTCGGCTTCGTTGCGGTAGTATTCGCGGAAACGGGCGGTACCTCGGAGGAGGATTTCACCTCGGGGGTTGGGTGTGTCGGTTGCGAGGTACTCCATGTCGGGGACGGATTCGAGGCATACCTCCACTGTGGAAGGAAAAAAAGGTTATTTGAGTTTGAAGCAGGAATTGGAAGGAAATTACTTACTAGATGGGCTTACACCTCCGCAATTACCGGTGGAGTAATCATCATCGTATTGTACAAGACCATGTGCGTAGGTTTCGGTAAGACCGTAACCTTGGATGAACTTGGCACCAAACGCTGCACGGAGGAATTGATGAAGACCAGGATCAATTGGAGCACTTCCAGTCACCATACCACGAGCTCTTTGAAGACCAAAAGCACTAGCTAATTTAGGAGTCCAGATACGATCATAGAGAGCGTGTTTATTGGTAGCTTGTCCGGGTGGAAGTTTCATCGATGCAAGCTTGGTGTTAATAATATGACGACCGATTGTGCCCTTAACACCTGGAGCATCGATAGTAGCGGCTTTGATAGCGCCTCCGAATCGATTGTAGAGACGAGGAACGGAGTTGAAGGCTGTTGGGCGAAGAAGCTTCAAGTCGTCGACAAGTCCAAGAATGTCACCACGGAAATAACCAATAGCAGATCCTACAGCAAGACAGCCATGCTCGGCAAGACGTTGGTAAATGTGTGCCAATGGAAGGTATGAACAAATGACATCATTAGGCCATGGGTCAGACACAATTCTCGAAATGGAAGTGGCTGCAACAGCGTGTGCCTGGGTAAGAACCACACCCTTGGGGTTACCAGTTGTCCCGGAGGTATAATTGATTGTAATGATATCTTCTGGTCGAGGTGGGTTCATTGGAGAGTTTGGGGACGCAGCTCCAATGGCTTCAACATCTCCAATATAATGAATAGCGATTCCAACTTCAGCCGCAAGAGCATTCAAGAGTGCTTTCTTTGTGTTTCCAGGCTGTTCTCCTTCATCCAAACGATCAAGGCAAATGATGAGCTTCAGCGTAGGTATCCTCGGCGCCAACTTCAATAACGTCGGAATATGTGGTAAACTCGTACAAACACAAGCGAGCGTCGCATGGTTGACGATGTATTCCGTTGTATCCGGTCCGAGAGTATCGTAAATGGAAACCGTGAAGAGGGATTGAGACATCGCTCCCAAATCTACAACTCATGTCAGCCCCCACCCTGCAATGCACGATGCAGGTAGCAATAGCTCCAAGATCTCTTACCAACAATTTGCCATTCCGGACGATTTTGACACCAAAGACCCACACCATACTTATCATCTGTGATTCCTGCCCTCTTATGAAGCTCTACCAATCCCACACCAAAATTCTTTCTGCGCTCTGCCGTCTCCGCATACGTAATCCATTGATAGTTACCATAAGTTTTTGTAACGGGATCCCAAGGTCTATGACCCAAACATCTAGCATTTGGTCTCTTTCTTGCAGCCTTCTCAAAGAAATCATGACTGGTCAAACATTCTGGATCGATTGTTTGTAGTAATGGCTTATCCACGAATTGATAATGCCTGTAAATGCCACTGCGATCTTCGCGCGCACTGCCCGGGATCGCAAGGGAGTAGGGTGAGCCGGGAGGAGGAGATGCTCGGATGGTCTTCACATAAGTATCGGGATCTTGTACCGTCGGTGCCATGGTGTCTGACTAGATCTCTAAAAAGCAAACATCAATCAGTATTCATTCAATGTCGAACAAAGGTTAGGAGGCTGGGCATCGAGCGGCTCGCGATGAGAGATTACGAACCTTGGAATGTATAAAAGGAATGATAAAAGATCTAATCTATAAAACTTGGAGAATATGAATCGCAACGAAGATCTATCGAATAAACAAAGCCAAATTAATTCCAACAGCGAGTGAAGTTTGTAAATAGATCAAGTATCAAGTTTCCTTCAAAGGGTGCATGTGAAGAAATGGAGAGTGGCCTCGCCCGAAGCCTCGATGGTCGCGTTTCGTTTTACCTCGGTATCTGAGCGCTGGGGCATAAAATCATTCCAGAATGTGGAGAAGCTTTGTAAATCGCAATCACAATTTGGTGAAGGATTGGAAATGACCGACATATCCGTTCTGATAGGGGGAGAATATTGGGTAGAGAGAGGATCTGAATCAACAATCATAAAATTCTCCACGAAGAAAAGTGGTCAGACAGCGAGGTACAGATGCAATGTAGTGTTCGGTAGACGCTTATTTGTATCCGAGTTGGTACTTTAACCAATCTATCGGTATCACAGTAAAGATTTGTTTGTTGTTGATTGAATTGAATACATAGTTATTTGTATTATTACTTTGTAGCAAATAGTATTTTATCAGTATTCTGTAGATTGATCGTCCATCAAAAACTTCCAGTCTTCCACCACCTTCACATTCACCTAGCCAGAGAAAGTTTGAAGAATACTTTAAAAAGGGGGGGAATTATTTAAACAACCAATTTAGCATCACCACTAACATTACCAGTCTTCTCGGCATTTGAGTCGTTACCACCACTTGTCTTCGCTGCAGAAGCTGCTTCGAATGATTGTTCAAAATCCTTAATGATATCATCAATATGTTCTGTGCCAACCGAGATTCTGATGAGATCCTATAAAACAAGATTCAGTCAGATTCACAACATTGGATGTCTAATGAAGTCTTACCTCAGTGACACCAGAGGCCAATCTTTCGTCGTGAGAAAGTTGTTCGTGGGTTGTAGACCATGGATGAATAGCTAGAGTTTTTAAATCTCCAACATTGGCTAGATTAGAAATCAATTTGAAGCCATCAACAACCTGGCTACCAGCTTCTCCTCCTCCTTTAACCCCAAAACTCATAACACCACCAAATCCACGAGGCAAGTATTTCTTGGCTAACTCATGGGATGGGTGATTTTCCAATCCTGGATATGATACCCAAGAAACGTGTGGATTTTTCTCAAGCCATTTTGCCAACGCCAATGAGTTCTGAGCATGTCGCTCTCCTCTTAAGCTCAAAGTTTCAAGGCCTTGGATCAATTGAAATGCACCAAATGGATTCAATGAACTTCCCAAATCTCGAAGAACCTCAACTCTAACACGAGTAATAAAAGTGTCAGGTCCAAATGTTTCCCAGAATTTTAGTCCATGATATCCATCGGATGGTTCAACCATTTCTGGGAATCGCTTGCCGTGCTTTCCCCAGTCAAAATTTCCTGCATCAATGACTACGCCACCTATGGTAGTTCCGTGTCCTATTAGAACCAAGTTAGAAGGAATCACAATATCTGACAGCGAAACACATAATTACCGCCAATCCATTTAGTGGCTGAGTGTACGACAATGTCTGCTCCATGATCGATAGGGCGGCAGAAATATCCTCCTGCTCCAAATGTGTTATCAACGACGAGAGGAACTCCGGCATCTAAGTATGAAATTAGTATTTCTCATGAAAAAAAGCAGGAGCTTCAAGCAGTCAAGCCAGAACCAGATTAAGATGTAGTACAATCACTAACCGTGTGCAACTTTGGCAATAGCCTCAAAGTCTGGAACATTATATTTTGGATTTCCAATACTCTCAATGTACACAGCTTTTGTATTTTCGTCTATAGCCTTCGCAAAGTCCTCTGCCTTGTCTCCTTGAACGAATTTGGTATTTATGCCTAATCTTGGAAGGAAAACCTTCAATTGATTGTATGTTCCTCCATAAAGATTCGTCGTGGATACGATATTGTCTCCGGCATGGGCCAATGCGGCAAAGGCCACTTTAGTGGAGTATTAGCACACATTCGCTTATGACATGATATCAAAGGGGCGATGTGGTGAAGGAAGGAGTGAGGGTAGAGATGAAATCAATTAAGATGACATACTAAACTGGGCTGCTTGACCAGAGGAAGATGCTACCGCTCCTCGTCCACCCTCAAGAGCTGCAATCCGCTTTTCGAAAACCTCGACAGTTGGCTGTTGCCAAGTTAGCTAAGATCTTGGTGTTGTACTTGGCAATGAAGTTTAGGAATTGGAAATTGCTGAGACGCCAATTTTGAACGAAGAAATGCCAATTCTTAAGAATTGAGATGCCAACTTTCATCACAGACGTTGCCAATTTTCAAGAAATCAGATGCCAAATCTCAACGACTTCTCTTCGACTTCGGATAGAGCATAGCTTGGGTGATACATACGTTCGCAATACGACTGTAAAGATTCCCAACCTCTTTGAGGCCAAACAACCTAGCTCCATGAGCAGAGTCATGGAATGTGAAGCTCTATAGATATCATATTTAGCTCTTAAGATCATAGAATTCTCTGATATGAGCAGACTGACCGTGGTAGCATAGATTGGCACAGCTCTTGCATTTGTTGCTGAATCCGGCTCATGTCTACCGTCGACAGAATCTAATTAGCCTTGTCTTGAAAGTGCGGGGAAGAAGTGGCATAGCACGAACCCAGCATGAAGCTGTAGAGTCTCGAAATGAGTGCTTTCAACAGGTGCCATGGTGATTGATCGATTGTTCTTCGATTCGGAGTTGAATAAGATTTGAGTGATTTAAAAAGTCACAGGAAAGAAAGAAAATGAAAAGAAAATGAACACCGGGAAGCTTTTTGGATCAATAGATTAAAATCTTTGTTTCTCCTCATTCCCTTTTGGTAAGACAAACAGCTCTTTCCAATTGAATTGATGACCATGGTGGGGTAATACATTATACATTCATTGGCTTAAGCACGTCATTTCTTTCATTCTCGAGGTATAAGGGATGAGGACGGGAGAGCTCATCGAAGATTAGACAACATTGGATTGAAAAGTGGTGGTCTGAATGGCTTCATTTCATCCTTCCGGTCCTTTCGACATCATCTTGATATTTTGAGGGTTGCTTACTCATCTGATCAAAGTTGTCTGGTGGTTGGTCTTACCAGACCAGAACTATCAGCCCTGGGCTTTGACCTCCTTTCATTACCACAGCGAGCACAGCTTCCAAACAATTTATTGGCTTCAACAACAAATCCATTTTGGTGTTACAACTTCACTTCGTGCTGCATTACAGATCAGATTTTCTATTCAAACGACATTGGCCTACGAATCACAGCTTTGTCTTTCCATGCACCATGGCGCCGTGATGTTCCTTCGTAACTCCAGATGATACACCAAGTAACTTTTCTCAACATCACTTCCACAACAGATATCTGACACGGCAATCCAATAACATTGCGAAGGATGACTTATGATATCAAGCTCATGTCCAAGCATTCCAGATGTTGTAGCTTAAGAACGTCTCATGTTCCGCCGCCTTCAAACGCAAAGCTCGAAGATGCGAATCAATACAGGAACCTCAATCTTGTGCTTCTTTCTTGGCAACACAACACTGACACTCTTGGAACTTCCTACGAGGCGGCACTAGAACTTACTTGTAGGTTGAGATGAGTATATCCCTTTTTAAGCTTTGCGGTTGAGTTAGTGAATTTGTGTTGTAATTGGTGTTTCATGCTCTGAGATAAATAGAAACTTGTGAGATGTCCGAGCGGATAATTCTCAACTTCTAGACAAAGCGTACTTATTGTTTCAATTGGTTACTGGTATTATGATTCAAGGTCGTGAGATATCCGCTTTACCAAAGTACTTCAGTCTGCAGTGTAGAATCTTCTTAGAGGTGGATATTTCAGGGTCAGTGGGCTTTGAGGTAATACAGTTCAATGCGCGCGTTTGCGGGAGAAGATCATTTGATGATTGCAGTCAGCACATCCTATCATTGGTCGTGATGCTGAATTCCAATAATAAATATGCTCAGTCAGGTTACTCAGCGGTTGAATTGTCCTACGCATCGCGGGGAACGCAAGCAGGCCTTTCTCCACTGTAGCCAGGACGTCGTCAACAATTATCATTGGTCATATAGCCCTGTGTCTTCAATGTAATGCCGTAGATCCTTGTTTGGTAGGGAGTTGAGAACCGGCATGATCTGTGCGATGGATTGATATCCCGTTTCAAACATGATACTGAGTTTATGCATCTTTTCCACTTTGGCTGCAATGGAAACCATTCGGCCTTCAGACTTTGTCTACTTAATTCTTTTGTAATTATAATATCAGTCTGTGACTCTTTTGTATTTCATCTCCTTTCAACTTTTCTCCACCTGTCTCCTTTTTCAATTTGTATACATCCTCTTCGAATTCACTCATTTACGCGCGCCCAAGTTGCAGCTGCGTTTTCCCACGACTATTAAGATCATCCATTTCACGACAACAAGATTTCCCAAATAACAATACTTTAATTTCAAAATGGCGATTGGATTACTTCTTCCTATTCGAATTGCTCAAGCAGTTTTTGCTATCGTCGTACTTGGCTTGTCCGGATATGGTATGAGAGATATTAATGATTAGCATATCAAGGGATAACTGCTAACATACCACATAGTTTCCCACTGGTACAATGCCGATACTTTGACCGCAAGTCCTTCGCAAATCAACTTCTTGGTTTTCGTACCTGTCTTTACTTTGATTTCCATTGTCTATCTTGAAGTTGCACCCCGCTTCATGTCGAAAGGTACCTTTACCACTTTCAAAAGTACATACACAATTTTCTAACATTCATCAGCATCTCACCCATACGCACATCTCACATTTGAGCTTCTCAACGTTCTTTTCTACTTCGCAGGCTTCATTGCCCTCTCCGTCTTCATCAGCAACCTTCTTTTCTGTCGTGGTTCTGTCTGTGGAGCAGCTCGTGCCGATGCAGTCTTTGGTGCTTTCAGTTGGTTACTTTGGATGGGAAGCAGTGCTATTCTTGCATTGGAGATGTTTAAGGGAGGACGAGGAAAGACTTATCCTCAACCAAACATGGCTATGAAGGAGACTGGTAACCCAGTTTAAGTTGCTGGGTTGAGCGGAGAGAATGCAAAAGACAACCGGGGAGCATGTCCATACTATATGGGCACTGTTAGTTGATGAGAAGTCTTGATGGCCATGTCTCTTTTGAAAAGACGTATTGTGGTTATGGAAACAAAGGTTGATGACAAGGAAAAGATTGATGACTCGAATGTTCATGGAGTTGGGGGTCAAAACACACACAGCAGCAAGACTGACTGATGTCTATTCTAGAAATAAGTAATATTGAAATCTTTGATAATTGTTTCGCGTGTATCTACCTTTCTAATTGATGAATTTTCTCATGTTCCTTTCTAAGCATACTTTCCTTGTATTGGAATTGAATCATTCCTCTCTTAAAGTTTTTAAACAGGATCCAGTGTCTCAGGATTCAACAGTAAATATACCAACTCATGAGACGACAAAAAACTTAGATTTGAAAATCCCTTCCGAATCATCATCTCAAAAGCTCCAAAAATTCACAGGAATCCCCGTCTAGATAAATTATATAATCAGAAAGTCAGATAGCAAGTAAGTATCTTTCTAGGATCTACAAAACTCCAACGATAGATATATAGATTCCCTATACGTTTCGCTCTTTAAAAAGTTCTCATGAGTTTATATAAGTCTTACCTCCTATTGTATTATATTGTATTGCATTAATTTATTGATTCATTGATTCATACACTAGATAGATATACTCCACTGAATCTATATCTCTCATCCTGTAGAATACATCTTTATCTTTTCTTATTTCGTTACTTATTTCGTTGCTTTACTTTACTTTGGGTTGGGTTTGGTTTGGTTATGAAATTGTATGTTGATTCTTTTTCTTTTGATTGCGTTTTTGATCTTGTTTTTGATGTTTGATATTTAATATACAGTATCTAGTATTCAGTATCTAGGTATATATAAAAGCTACTAGAGATCTCTCAACTCTCAACTCTCAACCATCAAAATCCATTCTCCTCTCCATTCTCCAATTACTTGACATCCTCTTATCTCACATCCGATATCTGATATCAGGATTCCAGTCAAATCTACTACCCAGCAGTTCATTGACTCGTCAATTCAATCTGCCAATACTCAACTAGTCATCATATCAATCATCATACCAATCATTATACCAATTATCATACTACCCAACTATCACACTCAGTCAAACATACTCATTCTAACATACTCATTCTAATTCCAACATAATATACTCATCCCACCACACTAAATTGAATCCACAAATATCTATCTATACTTGAATCCTCAAATATTCTAATCCTCAAATATCTACATTCTAATTAACTAAATCCAATCCAATCCAATCCAATCTTTCAGAACAACCAGATATCCATATGATTTCATATCACTTCACATCACTTCCCAATTTCTCAAGCTTACTATCCGTACATACTTAAAGTATATTATTAGTCAATTAGGTTTTATTATATTCTCCTTCTCTTTCTCCTACTCTCCCTCATCCCATATCTCCCCATCCCATATCCCCTCATCCCATATCTCCCCATCACCTCCTTCCTAATCTCACATCTCACCTACAACTACTACTACAACTACCCACCCACCCACTATATATAAAACATTTCAAACAACATAAAGACAATTACAACTACAACCACAACCACAACCACAATTATCCAGATGATATATAAATACATATATAAATACACTAAATCCTCCCATTTTCCCCGCTATTTATAGACTAATAATCATAATAAAGTTTTCTTAAAGCCTCTTCCTTTCTTTACTCGATAGATATAATAGTACTAATAGTATAATGTAAACTCGTATATAGTATAATAGTATATAGTATAATAGTATAATAGTATAATAGTTATAATAGTATAATAGTATAATAGTATAATCGTATAATCGTATAATAGTATAATAGTATCATAGTATAATAGTATAATAGTATAATAGTATAATAGTATAATCGTATAAAGTATAATAGTATAATAGTATACATAGTATAATAGTATATAGTATAGTATACTAGTATAATAGTAAACTAGTATAATAGTATAATAGTAATATAATAGTAAATAGTATAGTCCAATACAATACAATACAATACAACACTCATTTCGTTCCTTCGTCCATTTCATATAATATAATATAAATATAAATATATCCTTTAATTTCATTCCTATAAATCAACATTTCATCCCCCTCTCAGATTTCCCACCCACGCTATTTCTTCTTTTCTCCTCCTCCTCCTCCTCTCTTCATTCATCATCTGATGTTCATCCATAGTACCAGTATTGATAGGTATCTAAATATACGCAAATAGGGCAGCTATACAAATGCCCTTCGATTATAAAATACCTCTTTCCATTCTCTTCCTCCTCTTAACCCCTTTATATTCCTTCTCTTCTTATCACACGATGTGACTCCTCCACTTCATCAATCCTATCTTTTCCTTCAATTTCTCTGTAATGGTATCGTTCATCAAAAATTACGAATGCATGCAAGCCGCCACCACCCATCCATCCCAAGAACCCACATCCATAATTTTATATGGCAAGTACTTAGGTATAATATAATTCCATCCATCCCAAATACGCCCATTCACAACACAATACTCCATTCCAATTCCATCACCCTTGTCACAGAAAGTTCCCACAATAATAAAATATTAGAAAGCATGAACCTTCTCCATGAACTTTCTTCCTTAAACGTATTCTTCCGGCTCTTAATCCCTAAAGCACAATAAAATCCAAAAACTATCACCACAAATAACAAATGCAAGCGTTATACTAGAACCCATTCACTTCCTCTTTTGATAAACTTGTCCAAAAGCAATGAGATATCATTCAACACAAAACGACAGATGTAAAATCCGAAGAACTCGGCTGCGTGACGAGTGCAAAGTTCGAGCCCAACTTGAGTTTTATCTGCATGGCGAAGACCAGGATCTTCAACTTGACGTGCAATTTGATCTGCTCATCTAGTTAGTTCTGTGGGTGATCAAAGTGTGATAGGATTGTTACATACCAATAGCTTGTGCAGCGTCAAATAGCTTCGCCAAAGCACTCATATAATTTGCATTCGGTCCAGAAAATTGCACTTGACTAACATCTCTCTTGGCAAATCGAGATCTAGGGGCAGACGTCATAGGTAATGTACCCATGGTTAGCCCTTCCTTGGGTATCTCAGGAGACGTGACCTTATTTGAGTAATTGTTGGCGAGACCCATGGCGGAATTCTTCGAACGTAGGCGTCTCCATGAGAACGAAGAGGTCTTGCTAGATGTATTTCCAGATTTAGTACTCGTACTAGCAAAGTCCATGGGATCACCCATAGTTGTTGCGTCCTTGAACATCCCATTCGAGCCATGTACGCCAACTTCATTGCCCAGCTTTTTACTGAGTGTGATTTGGACCTGTTCCAGAATCCCTTCCAAAGCTTGCATTTCTTCCAAAACAGCATCAGCATCGCAAGTATCAACTTGACCTAGCTTCATCAAAGCTGCTGTAAGGAAGTCACAACTAGCGATTTTGTCTTCGACTCCCTTAATCTTAACACCCTTCACACGCCATACATCTCGAGGTATGAACAATTTAGTGGATAGATAGCCACCCCTCGGATGTGCAATAGTTTGATACAAAGCCCGCATAAGCCAGAATGGACGAAGGAGATATTCCGTTGGACAAGGCTCTAATGGAATTGGTGCACCTGCACTCATTGGATTTGGCGAACCCGGGCTTTCTGGAGAGTGAAGATCATTGTTGAAAAGATAAAGGCCTCCAGTAGGTGCACCGTTCATCTTCTCTTTAAACGCGGCAGCAATCGGTGTTGGGAGAGTGGGCATGGCAGGCATTCTTCCATTGATATGATTACCTTGTCCAGTCATTGGCGTAGGTGGCATGACATCACCAAATTCGTCCATATTGGAAATCGACATAGTATGACTTCGGACATTCTTCAAACTTGACGAGGAAAAATTCTTTCGCAGTCCTGCTCTCGAGTGGGAACGGTTTGGTGATCCTGATCGAGGTATAGAGTTGAAGTTGTCGTTGCTATCATTTGTGAGTGTCTGGGTAAGGAATGCTGTCGGAGGAAAAGTATAATCTGAAGAGCTCGGTCCTGAGATTGAACCTTGTCGTGTGGGAATAGCTGCTCGAAGGCTGATCGAACCTAGCCCGTGTTGTAGTAAACCGGCAGTCTTAGGACCTGCAAAGCCATCAGGAATTTGTGGTGGCGGTATTGATGGAGGCAGAGTCAAGGGAGCATTTTGAACTTCAATCAACCTTGATGATGTCTCGATTTTTAATTGTTTGGCGTTCTGACCAGATAGCCTTCTGCTTTGAACACTCTGCGCTGGACTACTTTTTCTTACCGGGCTACCGTCAAGGGTTGGTGGTGCAGGCAATGCTTGAGAAGGCGGCGGGTGAGGTGGTTGAATTTGAGACTGCGATAAAACAACTGGTGATATCGTCGGTGCTGCGGTGATATTGCTGAGCGGGGGTATGGAACCACTGGAGCTATGCCAAGTCCGACCCGAAAACGACCCACTGGAATCAGATTCCCTAGGTAGTGCCGACTTAGACTGTAGACCGAATTCAAAGTCATCCATCACGTAACCTCTTGTCATTTCTTCAAGCATCCTCTCTTCCTCTTCTGACTCATTTCCTTCATAGTCATCAAGGGGACCAATATGTGGCTCTTGTATTTGTTGAAACATTCGTTTTCGTTCCCTTTCATGTGCATCCTCTATAGCAGCTTCTCGTTCGTTTTGGCGCACTCTTTCTTTTGCCAACTCAATCTTTCTCCTGACACTTGCTACAAGTTCTTCATCGTCATCATCGTCATCATAATTTACAGGCTCGAAGCCATCGTCATAAGCCGCTTCAACGGCAGCATCCAGTGCTGCATCGAATTCTGCTTCGGTTTGACCGCTAGAAGCACGAATATGTTTCCTCCTTACATGTAGTGACGAAGATCTAGAATGTACAGATGAAGCAGCCGATCCGCCAGACTCATCAATGGTATCTAACCACGACATAGATTCATTACTGGGTGCTCGTGTATGCCCTTTGGACGGAGACGGAGCAGACAAGTTAGAGTTAGATTTCGGGCTCGGCGGTTCGGAAGACTTCTGTCTTCGATGGCCGGAGCTCGATGGCCCATATGTCATCGGTGACACGGGTCGCCTTGGAGACAGAGGAGGTGGCATGTACTGGCTTTCCATAGGTACGGCTAAGCTCGTTTCAATGTTTCTTCCTTGAGATTGATTATACCTAGAGAAGTAATTGGATCGTTGGTCAGGGTGGTTTCTAGTCTGTGTCTGGGGAGGCTCGAAGGTCGAAGACTCGCCTCGCGAGTGCGATCGACGGTTCCTCGAATATGATCGGTCTCGCTGAGATTCGTTTGGGTGAGAAGCATCGTTGACTATCCTCGTAATTGTGGCTGTCTCTATAAAAGCAGGCTCATCATCTTCGTCACTCATTGGAAGCTCGTCTGGTCTATATTCCGATCTAAAGTCTGTGCTTTCGGGCCTGGCAGGAAGTGCCTTTTCGTCACTTAACTCGGGAGTAATCTTCGCCAATTCATTTATCCGGCTAGTATAAGTATTACGCTAAAATCATTAGTCAATGGTAAATAATTGATCTACCAACATAATACTCACAATTGCTTCCAGCTTGCGTCGATCCTCGTCTCCTGAACTACGAGCCATAACTTGCTGTAACAAATTGCACGCCTCAGAATACGCCTGCATGGCGCCTTCATAGTTTTGTGCATTGTCAAGTAAGACTGCCGTATTCGCTTTCTGCAAAGCTTTGGACAACATGGCTTTTTGCGAGGGCTGCTTAGAGCCTCGAGAAGAACTACTACTCTTTTCGGCCCTTGAACGGTTCCTTGAATGGCCCCTCGCCACTCGTGATTCCTCTTCGGATGGGGGACGACGTGTTGCTGCTTCAGTCGAGAGAGCCGATATTGGTGAAGGACTAATACTGTGATTTCCTGACCTTGAGGGCGATCGTCGTTGAGAGATATCTCTGGGCCTAGAACCTTCCCAAGTTTTTCCAAAGTAATCGGGCACAGTCTGGTGAACAGCAGCCGATAACAATCCAGCCGTGGAAGGGGTCAACGCACTTGACAGCGATGGGGAATGGTTTCCGGATTGCTGATCAATTGGTAGAGTAATAATCGGAGGGAGGGATGACGGTAGAGGGGGGTTCGCGGGTCGGTCTGTCGGTCTTCTCGTCTGAGGGCTGTTGTCAATTGAAGGTCGACTCTTTTGTAATTTTCTTGGGGGAGATTGGCCAACACCATTCCCATTCAATCCGGATCCGCCAAAACTCAAACGTGAGATTGAATTAGAACGACTCCGAATATGTCCTCCGGCACTTGAAGTTGTCGATTGACTCCACCGATTGAAATTTCCGGTTTGTTCTTTAACACCGCTTGTACTACTAGAGCGGCAATGGGGTTGCCTCGGCTGTCTTCGCGATTCCCCTATTGCATCGTGAGATTCATTTTGAGGAGGGGGCGCAATCTGGCGAGGGTTCCCAAACGAGGGTTTGCGTTGTAGGCGATTGACCGGTGCATTCAAAGTGGAATTGGCAGAGGAATTGTTGAATCTTGAATTTGATACTGGATTGTTCGTAGGTAGTGGATATGGCAGACGATCCTCTGTTGTTGTACTGTAAGATAACGATGGCATTGTCGGGAATAGAAGTCGAGGTTTAAAATTGGTGGATAAGTGGATAGTAAATTGTACTGTATCAAAAGTGGGCTAATCCTATTTAGGTTAGAGACGTGACTAGCTTTATGTGATCACAGTGATCCGTTATGGTAAGGTTCCTTCCTTACCCCCTTGTCTTTTAATCGCAAGCCAATCTGGTTCTCTCTTTTGTTGCTGCTGCGTCGGGACTAATAAATAATAATGATAATAATGACAATATAAGGCCGTCGGACGGGATCTGTGTGTCAATTACGACTTCGATTTGAATGATGCTCCTTCAACCAACCTACGTAAGTCTCCACGAGAGAAAAGAAAGAAGATCTACCCTTTTCCCCGATTTTGTTATTTCAACGTGATCTTCTTTGCTAAAACAAGATGGGCTTCGTCCCCTTTTTTCCCCTTCGCTCTTCCGTTCCTTCTTCCCTCTCTTATGAAAATGAGATTGAGATTGAGAGTGGGAGTGGGCGTGGGAGTGGGATTGAGCGTATTTTCTATCCAATTATGGTATTGACTCCGACTTATCGATGTCGAGTTTTATATATAGTATATGGTATATAGTATCGTATCGCCTGTGGTATGGTAGGTGCAGAATCCGGATGGCGACGTCTCAATTAAATACCTAAATATTTATGATATTTGTGCTGGGAGTCTGAGAGTCTGGGAGTCTGGGACTGGAATCGGAACGTGCCACTTTTCTAATCGAGGGTTGTAACTTGTAGGGGACCAATTGAAGTGGGTGAAGTGGAGTGGAGGTAGGTATTCGAAATTGCCTGGTCGATCAATAAATCAATATTAGCACATCTATTCCTAAAATTCTTTGCAATCCCATATGCATTACAACAACTGTTGAACAACAGCTATATCGATCAACACCCACCTGACCTGACCTGACCTGGCCTGACCTGGAAGAAGAATATATGAATGGAGACTTGCTCAAACTTCTCTTTTAGGATTCATGGTCTTCCAGAATGCTATCTCCAAAGCCAAGGTTGTTTCCCTCCCAATGTTCGATGTGATCTTTGGTTTAATCATACAATGTGTTGCCGAGAGGTTCCACGGTTTCCAGATGATCAATATATAGAGTTTGTCGGTAAATGCTGCTACAATTTAATGCCGACGCGCTCTTTGCTCCCACAAGTCCTATCCTACACAAATTCCGATGTGTATTGAATGATGGCAGGATTCAACAAGGTATGGAAAAGTTAAGATGGTTCCCTCAAGATCAAGCTCACTTGACTCCGCGATGCTTCTATTTGAGACAGACAGTGCAATGTCCGATATCCCTAGGCGTTTATTGTACGATGTCGTTGGAGGGGTACATATACCGGTACCGGCTGCGGATTGGCGGCAGTAACATCAATCAAGGTAATGTGCCTAGTAAATATTGACATCTATCATACATAGATCTGATGGCAGTGACAGCAAATCGTCATCGACATGCAACTCAAATTCCAATAATAACTTTTATAAACAAAAAATGGGCAAGAAATGGAGTGAGTGGGTGAAGGCAAAATCAGAATCAAAGAAACACACAAAACTCCAAACTCAAAACGAAAACTCTGGGACCCTTGATGAGTAAAACGAAGTACAAGTTGAAAGGTCGGTCAAGAAATTCGTAAAAATTGAGATTGAAGCTGCAAGTGGTCTGAATTCTATCACTCCCTTTTCCATTCCGGCGGGTGCGTATTCTGGATAAGGGAATGGATATTCTGCGGTGGTAGCAGCGTTTCTCATCGTACCAAGCATCCAAATAGTGCAAGACAAGGCCCGGGATGGTCAAAAGGGCACGGCGCAAGGGGTATATACTCTTTTGGGAGCGTTGTGGTTAGACTGGTTAGACTGGTTAGACAACTCTTGACTCTCGCGTACGATGATTTGATGATGAAGTAAGAAACTGGATAAACTGGGCCTTCAATCCGTGCCAAAAATGTGTGCAAGGTACGAAGGAAAGGACATGATCACGGCTATGAATTGACAAGGAGTAAAACATGTGAACTGCAAGGATAAATCGCCATCACCATGCGAATCAGGGATTGTGAGGTCCCAAAGAGGTCTTGGTACGTCTTGGAGAAGCCTTTCTACCTTTCTCAAACTTCCCCTTTTCGAGTAGACGTGCAGGACGACGTAACCGTTACCAGCTTTTTCCAGCTTCATCTCACACTTTCTTACTCAAAATTACTCCATATGTTCACCATGGGAACTTTGCTATTTTGGTACATTGAATCATGCTTACGAAAAATGCTTCAAAGGGACCAAAGCTTAACATTTTTCAGCATGGTACAAAGTCTAATCATATCTTGTCTTGCCTGTACAACATCTGCTCCGTTACCGTAAAGGGGACGGACCGGACTATCAACCAAAGAATGAAAACCCGCAATATCAACGGTTGTAAATGGCTATGTCGTAGATCTTTGTGCAAATGGTATTGTTGTATGCATACATTATTTTGTGCGTCTCCACGCACTACCTTAAGTACCTGCCTATAAATTGAACTCGAATAATTTCTCTGATCTTCATGCATCTACATTAATAACTGTCGATGCCCGAATCCCACAACCCATCAAGCTAATTCGCATGCTCAATACGGTAATAATTTGATGTCGTTTCACATCTTACTAGCTTTCAGAAACTTTAGGGGTAAACCGCTTGATATGAACGTTCGAAATTCTCCGATGCCTAACATCTCTCATTGCTAAAGAAGAGAAACGAAACATATGTAGATCCGCCGTTTTTAAGTTCACTAGAAGGATTCACTTGCTTACAATCATCGAATATCTATCTTCAACAATCACATTGGCAATCTCGATAGATCTCTAGGCCAAAACTTTGTTTCGAGTGTGGGTTAGCTTCGGGCCCTTGAACTTGTTCTGTAAGGTGTACTGAAACAACATAAGCTCCTCCCCAAATTCGAATCCTCGGTCTCCTTACAATTTCACACGAATGCTAGTGCTGCTGTGTCATTTTCATCTGATGCTTAACCTCGCCGTTATAATATTGTTTAATTCGGTTTGGCTATGTTTCTAGTAATACGTTGACAAACAGCCGAATTCTTAAGGCTATAACCAATACACCATTCATGACACTACTACTGAAAACAATATACACAGAATCACAGTCTGTAGAACAAATCTATTTCGGATCTATTGCATGATGATGGTAAGCCAAGGTACATCTCAATCATGGATACTTGTAGATAGATGAAATAGCTTACGATTTAGCGTGATCTAGAAGGATTGTAATTTTCTCAAAACTTTCCCTTTTCTGTATAGTTCGTTGGATGGATGGTTACATTAGGATTCTTCTCTTACTTACGATACATAATCAAAGCACCTCCTTCCATGAAAAGTCATCCATGATACAGTCATCGATTACCGATCCATTCGCGAAATCGATCTAACGGAAAATACCATGTTGGATCAAAGAGAGTTCCTAGTTAGTAGTGACCCTAGTTGTGTCAGATACGAGTATCTGATTCTGATGGTTAGCTTCCATTTCCTTTCAAGGGTGTACATGCCACATGGCTTTTGATCAATCTTTGAGAAGACGGCTCGTTCATCTGGCCGTTGGAGATCTAGTACTTTTATCTTTGCTCAATGAAAACGTACTAGGAAATAACATAAGGCTCCAACTAGCCATAATTGTTGAATCTTACGAACGATTACCAATATTCTTGGCCCATTGTCTGTTCTCAAGTTTCATCTTCTTCTACTTCATCGGCTTCCTTCTATCCGTTTTCTGGGCAAAACTCAAAAGCTTGATTGATTTGATTGACTTGGTTGACTGAATTGACTTGATTGACTTCGGTGACTTGGTTGACTTGTTGTCACATATAGCAGACTTGTTATCGAAAACTCAAAAAACGATTCAATGTCATATAAAGTAAGAAAACAGTCTGATAAAGACCATGGACTCTGTATAATACCGAGACTGTCTTGTCCGAATGAAGATCCTAATGTTCCAAGGTCCCGACCAAGCATTCCAAATGCCTAATTCCTGAGTCGGTTCGATAGCTTCAAGTGCATCTCCCACTGAGTATTAAACATTAAACCTGTTGTAGCAGCTTGCTATCAGGTTGTGCGACATTGCATTTGTACCTATAGTAAGATTCCAGGTCCAATTTGCGAGGCAATGCGTGAATATGGTATAGAGGTTTAGTTTCAGAATACTCCTGGAGTAGTTCATCCTCGAATTCGATAGTCATGATTCTCGGTGCTGTGAACAAGGGTACCCGTGGACTGCTACTGAACATGTATGGGGTTGTAACGATAGTAGACGAATACCCAAGGGAAAATCTTGGGCAAGGGAGGGTCATTCAAGCTCAGGATACTCACGCTCATCGCCTGGATGCGCTCATACACACAGGACCTCAAGAGACCTTGGAAATGAGCAATTCTTGATCACCTCTTTGAAGATTGAGCCACATAATTGCTATGGGCGGTGGAAATGTCGAGGGTCATCTGGCACCTGGGCATGCTTTGATGTGCAAGATTTACAGTCTGTGCTGTGTGGCTTTGTCTTAAAGCTGCTGAGGTATTTATCGATCTGAAGAGCCAACGTCGTCGAACTAAGCCTTTCAATGTGATTTGAACAGACCTCTGATAAATCTTGTAGATCATGCCAATCAAAGCTCTTCAAAAACGCCATTGGGTTTGAAGTCTGTCATTATAATGCATAGTTCTCCTTGACCCCCCAATGACGCTTAGATTTCCAGTATCTGGATTTAAAGCAAGTAACCTCGGGTCGTTGCATAGTTACAAATTGGAGAGCATTGATTTCCAATCCATAACATATAATTTTCGAGTACCGGTATCGAGATGGTCTGAAAAAAGGAGGGGGAAAGGTTGGAGGAACAGCATGATTGAGGTACTTGACAAACATGTTCCCCTCCTTCCATTTGATAATAGTCCGAAAACTATTATATGTATCAATCCAAGGATAAACAGATAGCAAAACAGCTGCTCGTAGATTATAGATTACTG